ACACCCTACATTCTCTCTTTCTAAGTTACTACCTACAATGAATTCTAAGAGAGACTCACCTCTTGTGTTGCAATCGGTGCTTCCCCATTCCACGTGGTGAGCGTTRGCGTCACAGCCTATGATGAGGGGGAGYCTGTGCCGTCTGCAGTGCTCTACCAGCCTTACCACCATCTTCGGGGGCGCTGTAGGTGCCTCCCCTGGGAAGTAAGCTGAGGCCAGGATGAAGTCCTTGCCCTCAGAATCCCTGGCCTGCACCGCCACCAAGTCCTGAGTCAGAAACTCTGAAATGCAAAAGAAATCAATATTGTTTCTGACCACTATACAAGTTCTAGGCCTTTCGCTAGAGAGGTCCCAGATTACCTTGTTTGCCTCCGTTTTGAGGCCTTTAACCTCTCCTCTGTGGRCCCAAGGCTCTTGGATCAGCAGTATGCCCAGCTTCTCTACAGTGAACCTGCTGGCCGGCTGAGGCTGCAGGAGCGTGATGCAGGTTCACTTGGGCAACTTCCGTACTGACGGCCCTTACAGGATGGGTTCAAGGAAGGGCAGATCCTCTTCCCCACCGTCCACCGTACTGCTGTCCWTTGGGTCACCTAACCCTTCRAGGMGCTCCTGCGTGGAGGGTAGCTCATCTGCGCGACCTTCTTTGGGGACGTCGGTAGTCGCCGAGGGCACTGCCTTCTCAGTCCTACTACCGCATGGCTGCTCCGACACCACGTCCACCTGCATATCCAGTGAATCCGGGCCTGCTCCAGACCCTGTCGGTCTGTCCGCAACCTTCTTCTAGAGAGTTGCTGGCGTTGCTGCTCCCTTGCTCCCGGTGGCTGCAGGCCTGTTGGGCCGTATGACCACCGYRCTGAACCTGTAGTACAGGCGGAAGCTCGCTGCCCGGACGTACCTRTACGACTCATCGTCAATGAACAGGTTGAGTCTCCATCCTCTCATACCTCCGATCTCCTCCATTTTGCTACTCACGACGCGCCAGGACGAGATGCTGAGTCCCCGGTTCTGGTTTTTCACCAGCCCCAAGGCGAACCCATAGGGCTTGTGGCCGCACCGAGGGAGGAACATTGTCATGCTGTGCATGATTGTCAAATCTTCCGCCCTCTTCGCGCAGAGGACAGGACCCTTCCAGCCTCCGAGCTTTGGAGCGTACTCCTTCAGCCAGTCAGCGGACGCCTCATCCACGCAGTCTACCTGCAGCATTCCTCCTCTAAACTCCACTCTCAAGAAGGACGCCGCATAGTCCTTCCCTCTGAACACCTCCTCCATGAGGAGATCTTGGAGCACCGTGAGCTCCTCCGGTGTAAGCGACTCCACCGGGTAGCTGAGAGGCAGTACAGCCATGCGAATGCCTTTTACAGCGTCCGCCTCCTCCATTATCTTATGTGCGAGCCGACACGTTTTTGAGCTCCGTTGCCGGGGATGCGTTGCCTTTCTTCCTGGCCAGAGCCTCTGCCAYCTCCGGGGTCATCCCATCGCGGAGGTTCCGCAGGTACCACTTCATAGTGGAACCGCTCATCCCTTTCCTGCGTGGATCATCGCATCCACCGGGTTGACCGGCTTCTGGGAGGGGGC